TCTGTGCTGCCCCTTTAAGCTGCTAAACTCTAAATTGCCTAATGGCTGCAGTGCTACTCAGCTTCACCACTGTGCTGTGCTCCAACCACATTCTGACATGCATTTCCGGCCTCCAGTCTTGTCTCCAGCATGTCCCCTATGACTTAGTTTGTAGGGGGTCCTTGGAAAGCTGTCTTACAGCTGTCTTCTGCTATACTTGTGCCAGGGAATTTTTTCCTGGATAGATCCCCAGGGTATTTATAGCCCCTTTATAGTGCTTTACCCCTTTTCCCAGTGTAAAGGGACCAGAGTGAGACTCTCACCCCATATGTCTGACTCTTTTCAGAATGGTATATGTTGTACATAATGAACATCATAGGCATTGTAGCCTATAGGTCATTCTGAGAGGCTACAAAACAGCCAACTCAGTAGCAGTGATTTATGTTGATTAAATGAAGGAGAGGCTTTCCATTACAGAGATTTTATAGGCTAACATTTTTCTGGGGAAAGGACTCTCAAGCTCAGTTTTCTCTGCATGTGGTAGAGGCAGTGAGGAGACAGTGTCAAATTTAGAAAAGCACATAAGTCCCATTTTCAAATGTGACTTAGTGGTTTAAGTTTCATTAAAAGTCAATGACACTTAGGTCACTTTTGAAAATGGGACTTTGGCTCCTAAGTCACATAGGTGCTTTTGAAAATGTTACCCAAAATATTTATTGGGTCATAGAATAGAGTGATTCAGTCTGTCACTTGGTGGAAATTGAAAGCCCATATGGTGGCTGAATCCTCTCTTTGCTCTCTGGGCTGCAAAATCTTGGCAAAGGATGCCAGCCTCTCATTATGGGGAGCACATCTAAGGCAAAACAATACCTAAGTATTTGGTCATACTCAAACAGGCTTCAGAGCACAAGCTTCCTAGAAATTAGAGCAGTCACATCCGGCCCCATGGACTTGTGCTCATCCAGCATTTCTAAATAGTCCTGAACCACTTCTTTCTCCACAGAGGGCTGGTCACCTCCTCCCCATGCTGTGCTGCCCAGTGCAGTAGTCTGGGAGCTGACCTTGTTCGTGAAGACAGAGGCAAAAAAAGCATTGAGTACATTAGCTTTTTCCACATCCTCTGTCACTAGGTTGCCTCCCTCATTCAGTAAGGGGCTCACACTTTCCTTGACTTTCTTCTTGTTGCTAACATATCTGAAGAAACCCTTCTTGTTACTCTTAACATCTCTTGCTAGCTGCAACTCCAGGTGTGATTTGGCCTTCCTGATTTCACTCCTGCATGCCCGAGCAATATTTTTATACTCTTCCCTGGTCATTTGTCCAATCTTCCACTTCTTGTGAGCTTCTTTTTTGTGTTTAAGATCAGCAAGGATTTCACTGTTAAGCCAAGCTGGTCGCCTGCCATATTTACTATTCTTTCTACACATCGGGATGGTTTGTCCCTGTAACCTCAATAAGGATTCTTTAAAATACATACCAAGTGGAAGTGTCATAGAAGTCCCCAATCTATCTGTTCAGCAGAGAGGATCTTCTATTCCAGGGCTTGCTCCTGCATTCCAACCCAGAGTAACTGAATGTGACAGTTGGATGTTGAATGGCAAGTCCTGAACAAGATCCCTCCAAAGTATGAGACTTTCCCAGTCTCCTGCAAGCCTTTTACTGTTTTGGCTTCCACAAAAGGGGGACAAAATTCTGTTCCTATTGTCAGTATTAGTAAGATCAACCCTCGGAAACCAGTCTTCCAGATTCTGCTGGATTTCTTACAAGGCGGCCTTGACTTTGACATAAGACCTCACACACTATAGCAATTCACATCTCAGTTCTAAGAACAATCTCAAATGCAGGCTCATTCAAGTCTCTGGTAGATCATTCAATGATGTCAGGGTTCCAGTACATCTGTCTAAACCAAGTCATCATCATCATTTGTATAACAATAGTTCCTAGAGGCCCTGCAGAGATCGAGGATCCATTGTGCTAGGTACTGTACAAACAGTTGAGCCTCCAAATGACTTAAAATCTAACTATACAAGACAGACAACATACAAACAAATCTTGGAAAGTATACAACTTGTTTGTTTTGTTTACTATTTTCCCCAAACTATTTCCCAACTCCTGCCCCATACAGGTGCCCCAACCATTCTGTTTCCCATTGGTGACCCACAGTGCTCTACTCTCCAGATGCACACCCCACAAAAAGTCCCTTTCCCTAGTTAAAATGAGCAAGAACATGCTGCCATCACAATGAATTTTCCACCTCCCCAACCTGGAACCTGCTCGCTGTGCTTGGACATTCCATCCATTCAGACTTATGGCATCTAATTTCCTTTATTGCCTCTTCATAAAGATGTGCTTTCTGTTCACAGTCACATTGGTGACTAAAGTTACAAATCCTCTGTTGTTAGAAGACACATATCATACTGCGTGTTTCATAAAGGTGTATTCTTTGTACTCCAGAGTAATTTGTTACAAAATAATCTCTCTCTTTCCTATATCACAGGAGAGCATTCTTCCTAGAGTCCAAAAGAAAAAGCGTGACACATGCTAGATGTGAAAAGAGCAGTTTAGATTTACTTCAGTGCAACTGATCATTTCAAGAAATCATCCATATTTGTTTTTGAAACCTAAATGTGTGGCGTAAAAGCATCTAAATCCTTCATATTCTGGTGGATTAAGTGCTACGTCATAAACCAATATGCAGCTGCAGATAAACTGGACCCAGGAGGAATATGAATCCACTCAATACATTCCTTTGCTGCTGCCTGGACAGAAAGGACAACAGCTATGTCTGAGTAAATCTGAAATTGGACACCTGGTTGTCCATCAATATCTTTATAAAACATTACAGGATTGGCCTTCCATTCCTAGTAGCAGTAGCATTTGTCAGGAAAGTGTTCCACCCAGTGGTCCCAAAAGATTGAAACTGCTAATTTTAGGAAAGGAAGAATCTTTCTCTTCATTCCAACTCTCTTTCCTTATAGCTAGCTACATACCAGATATCTGAGACTGGGGTTGAGGTCAGGATCCAGAATGGAAAATTTGTTACCTGAAGATTTTTCTTTTTGAGCTCCATTTCTACCATCCGATGAAGTGAGCTGTAGCTCACGAAAGCTTATGCTCAAATAAATTTATTAGTCTCTAAGGTGCCACAAGTACTCCTTTTCTTTTTGCAAATACAGACTAACACGGCTGCTACTCTGAAACATTTCTACCTCAGTCTGCCCCACTTGAGATATGTTCTTCAGGTATCTGTACAGCAGTCTCTTTCCAGCTCCATATATATACAGTATGATTTCAGTTATTTGAACCTACCTTTTTTCAAAAATCTAGTTACAGAAGCCCATGTAGCTTTATGTTTGTCACCTGCCAGTCACTTCTCAATTAGCTAATCAACAACTTTGTATTTTTATTGTGGTTCTGAATGATTACTTGCAGTTACTGTGACCTAATCCTATTTCAGCAGCAGCAGCTTGGCAGGACAATTTTGAAAAGAAAAAGTGCTCAAAATAGCTTTTCTATTTAACTGAACACTGGTTACCCGAAAGTTTCGGATACCCACTAGGCCATTGGGATAAATGGGATAGTACTGTATATAGTTTCATAGTTGAAGAAAGCATTTCTGTTTAGAGTTATCTACTAAAAAAAATGTAGTGTTTGTGTACAGCTTTTCTGGCATGACGGTGGTACAGATGGGGTAAGTCTTGCCATTCTGTGGACAAATCTGAACTGTCTCTAGCAGATGTGATGTGTAGGGGGGACATGTGAGGTGAAATGTGTCCCAAGATTGGCCTGCCGGGGGAGGGGTGGAGGGAGAGGGGCCCTGTCCTTCTCCTTCTGTGCCTGCCTCGTCCGTGTACCTGGCACCTGGACTCGGGCAGGGAGCAGAGGGGGTTGGACCAGCTGCTTCTCATGTCAGCCACTGTGGGTTGCTGCTCTGTGCAGCGCAGCTGCTGCCTGAGAAAGAGTCTGGCAGTGGTAGGCCATGTGCCCCGCCTTCCGCCCACACCCCCAGGCCTGGCTGCTGGGGACAGGGGCTGAGCGAGCCGGAGTCCCCTCTTCTCCCCAGCGTGTTTCCGGTTCACTTGGCCCATCTCCAGCATCTGGCCCAGGTTGTAGAGTGGCCTGCTGCCACCGCAAGGCTCTTTTTCAGGCAGCTGCTGTGCTGCACAGATCAGTGACATGGAGCAGTTACCTTAAGCCATGTGAGAAGCCGCTCCCTCCTGCTCCCTGCCCAGGCCCAGCTGCCAGGGACAGCAGTTGAATGAGCTGGGGAGGGGGGTGGTGCAGCAGGAGAAGGACAGAACTTCCCTCCCCACGCAGATAACTGGTGGGGAAGAGAGTGAGTGGTGGCCCTAGCCTGGGTGCAGGGCAGGGGAGGGGTCGCTGGGCACAGGAGACATCGGTTGGTCACATGCCCCTTTAGATTGTGCCCCCCAGGATGGAGAATTTGCAACGAGGGAGAGCTGAGAGGCAAGCCCAAATGTCTCAGAATGGAGGAGACATTATTCCCAAAAAGGAGATCATTGGGTAACAGATTTTCCATTCCATTAACTAAAATTCTGCTATTGAGGTATCTTTTCTACAGATTCACACACATGCCCCTATCTCCTGATTCAGGTTCATATTTCTCTGATATACTGACGGTAGAACAGCAGAAATCTGCCCACATAGTCACACATGAAGTATGGCATCAAATCTCTTTTTTATGGCGTGGAGGCAAACACCAACCTACCTGAAATTCTAAATTTCAGTGGTTCTGGATTAGGAGGCACGTCTTGAACTAAATTCAAGTCTTAATTTATGGCGGTGAGTCAGTAGGAGACTTCCTGTTAGTAGTGAGTAAAGCGTTTTCTCTTTTTTACCTCCATAGTACAGCAGATGGGCGTGGCAGCATTAATAACTCATCAAAAAGTTAATAACCATCTCTGACAATCCAACAATTCATATTTTATTCTGGTTTGATATTTGTAATTCCTAAGGTACATTATTAGAAAATGTAACAAACTCTTTTTTTTAATTCTAAGACACATGATAAATTGAAGTCATCAGATGTTACATACAGCTGTCCCGGATATTCAAGAGAAGCAAAAGTTAAGGAATCCACTGAAGATATTGAGAGAGTTGATGATTTTGAAGAAATTGCAAAATTATCATTAGGTAACGTTACTTGAAAGTATTGTATGTATTGCATTATAATTGGCCTGCTCATCTCTACTCATTATAGAGAAATAGGAGTCTTAATTTTTCTGCAAATAAGTTTGCCTTTCACATACCTGGAAAAAAAAGAAATAAAATGAAAAAGAGAGGTTATAAAACACATTTATAATTTTTTATAATTAATATAATAATTTAATTAACCAGTTACCTCTGTTAGGTTTCTTACTGTTCTTTGGATCTGTACTCCTTGGCTAATGAACAGACTAAAGAATTATTATAATTTTATGAGTTGTCTTAGCCAAAATAGCTTTTAAAGTAAATAAGAAATTGCAGAAAGCAAAAGATGATTAGATGTTCACAATGTCAAAAATTGACCGCAACACGGAATGTTACAATTTTGAAGAAATAATAAATCAGTTGAGTTAATTCAAAGTCATATCACAATCTTGTTACAAAGGGAAACTTTTAACCTAGTTCTGTGCTAGTCTTGGTGGGTGACTTTGCTATCAACATGGAACTATGGATCCTTAAACATAGATTCTTATTTTCAGTCGAGTTTATGTGCCAATGGAATTATGGAACTGCTCATGTCTGTTCATCCAAACAATTGTGCAGTAGAATTTAGAAATTTAGATAAGTTACATAATTGTCAAAGAATGTTAATTCACTTCAAAATTACCTTGCCCAGGTAATAGTCATACCCGAGCTTTGCCACTTACACCGCACAAAACTATCACATTAAATCCAAAACATAATATGCAGATTCTAATTTCACTGGAATTTTACCAGTGATGGTGGGCTCTTATACCACTTTAACCAAAGGTTCAAATAGTGGTAAAATCTCTAGTTTACAAGCCAATTCAAAGCTGCTGCTGCTTTTTGTCTAAGAAGTTGTGAGTTGTCTTGACCACATCTGTGTGACTTCTAGGCTGAACACTAGGGGTTTCTCACAGTAACTTTTGCTATAGGGAAGCAAAGTTACCTATTACAAATAGCAGTATGCTTAGTTGGGCAAGAACCCCTACAACATGTTGAGTTACCATCCAATATCCTTGCTGTCAGTGTGTTTCAAGGGGTTTGAGCATTTGATCCTCCAACGAATCACTCCAGATTTGGACGATGTCTTGCAAATTGTGCAAGCAGGGGTTAGAAAAGGTCGCAACACCCGTGATCAAATCCACCACCACCTTTATCGAAAATGGTTGTCAACAAAATCTAAAGACGGAAGCAGTCTTCTTGGATTTGACTGCCGCTTATGATACAATTTGGTACAGAGGCCATTTGTTTAAACTCTCTCAAGTTGCCCCACATTGGGTGGTTGAAGTAGTAGAGCTCTTTCTCCAAACAGGCAGTTTAGAGTACACATGGGCAACTGCTGTAGCTTCTGGAAGTGTCAGATCAGCAGCCTTCCTTCAGGCTTAGTTCTTTCACTCATACTGTTCAATGTGTACTTCAACAACCTGCCAGCTACACTCTCATGCAAGTTTATCCAAATCCATTTCACCTCGGTGTGACATTAGATAGGTCATTAACACACTGCAACCACTTGAGGAAGACAGCAGCAAAAGTCAGCAGTCGGAACAACCTGCTCAGAAAATTGGCCAGTTCAACCTAGAGTGCGAGTGCCCAGACGCTTAGATCATCAGCCCTTGCCCTGTGCTATTCAACAGCAGAGTATTGAACTCCTGTCTGGTGTTGCTCTTCTCACATGAGGCTGGTTGATGTAGAGCTTAACAAAGCTATTCATATTGTTACTGGGACTTTATGGGCAACTTCCTTGCCATGGCTACTGATACTTAGCAACATAGCACTGCCCCATATTCACCATGAAAATGCCTCTGTCATGTTGCTGGCTAAGATCTGTGAGAATAGCAACATGCCATTGTACATAGACCTCTTCGATCACCCACCAGCTCACCTGTCTTTTAGATGTCCTTTATGGTCATTTATGCCACCAAAGGACATGATGGTGGAATCTGTTTGTCACAACGAGTGGTCAACGATGACAGTCATTAATCACTCTCTCATCACTGACCCAACCAGCTGTCCACCAGGTTTTGATCTGCCAAGGTACCTGTGGTCATCTCTGAACTGGTTTCGAACAGGACAGGGCAACTGTGTGGTCAATCTCTTTAAATGGGGTTTTTCTAATGCCCTGCAATGCAGCTGTGGTCAACTTCAGACTGTCACATATCATTGTTGAGTGCCCGGTATTTATTTCAGTGGTGGGCTGCTGGCTCTTCACTTGTGTGATGATGACACCATTAAATGGCTAGGCACATTGCACATACATCAATGATGAGTAGGCTTAGTTAGTGTAATTAGTTTCTCCCACCTCAGTGTTCTTAATTACTTATTGATTTAGCATCCCTTCTAGATAACTAAGACTAAACTTGTTAGTGAAACACAAATATGCATCATACATTTTAGTCATTCAGAGGATTTTAACTTAGGTTTGTTCTTTCTGAGAAGCATTTAGCTAAATATAACCAAGTCACCACTTGGGAAAACAATACATGTATAAAAGTTATTTTTCTACTTATCAATTGGTCTGGCATGAAGGTGGGTTCTCCAGCTCAGCATCACAGTTGCAGTGACTGGTTTCTCAAGATAGATGGAGTGCATTCAGGTGATTCACTCAAGTTATGTCAACAGTATTCTTATTCTCTTTCCAGACTTCTCAGCCGTCTTCTTAGACAGGACTCTCAAAGACAGAATTAATAGGGTGCTTGTTAGTGAAAGACTTTAGTTGTTACCATGGTGGGGGTGCTTTTGCTCATCAGTCCAGCTCCGTGTCTTTCATCCAAGTGTTTCTGCTTCCTGAAGCAATGTGTTGAACAACTCAGGACATTTTATACATTTTTCTGCTGGATGGCATGACCTTGTTCCTCTTCTTGAAGTAGCTGATGTGAGCCAACGAGAAAGTGATCCAAGCTTCTGGTGAAGATTTGAAATGTCCAACCAGGATACAAGTTCTGTCTCTAACCATCGTCCATTGCGAAAACAAGGCATCTCCTTTATGACTGCTTGCAATTTTATCTGGGAAATTCCAGTATCTTTATACAAAACATCTTCTGCTCTACCAATTTGTGAGATACACATCGGACCATATGTTGAACATCTGCTCTCTTAGCATCAGTCATCGATCTACTTCCACAGGTTACTTTTCTTGGCCCTTTGTGGTGGTGTCCTTTGGCCAACTTTGCACAACTCCATGCTCTTTCATCAGCATTTTTAGCTGTCTGCAGAAATGTCCATTTTGACCTGAGAACAGAGGCTTTATGTAAAGTCTCTTCACACTGTTCGATGTTTCTGTCTTGTTTAGTAGTTAATCATGCAGCAGTGTAAAGTTATTTGACTCAGTCAGTCACCAATTAGAGACAACATTTAATGAAATAGTACAAACCAACTGTACACACCTCTGTTCCAGTACTTGATTATCCCCTACACTTCAGTTATGAGGTTAATATGATTGCTTCATGTACAAAACTCTCTTCATGAAACTGCCAAACATACATTTGACCATACCTCATAATCGTATGCACTTCGGTTGATTCACGATAAAGATTTATACTTCATATTGGCTTTTCAAGATGTCATTTAAATGTATCAGCTTTTTAAATTCAAAACAAACACCTGGCAATTATACCTTGTTAAAGATTAGTTATATTATTGCTCACATATCTATTTAAAATAGGCAGCATGGTCTGAACTATTTTTCAGTATTTTCTGGTCAAGTTTCCTAGGCATTGAAAATTCCTTCAAATGAAAGGTTCTGTTATAGAATGCCTTTAGAGCTCTTAAACTATCAGTGTAGTTTCTTAAATCTTAATTAACACCTTTTCAGATTTATTTTATCTAATAATAAAATTTTACCTTGTGATACAATATCAGATAGTATAGCTTGATATACTAGATTTCTATAATGTATAGGGATAAAGCATGTAAAATGGAAGAAAAAAATTACTTTATAATTGAGCAAAAGTTTTTAGTTACTTAACCTACAGCTCCTATAAGTGAAACACAAAACAGCAGCTTCTATTTAACATGTTTTAAAGGCTTAAGCCTAAATTATGCCAAGATTCTGGCCTCTGTGTGTGTATTTATATAACATGATTGTTATTAATAAGCTCCATATTTTCTGTATTGTCACTACAGAATCAGTTTTTATAAAACTGCATTGATTCTGTCTCCCTGGTGTGTGTCTGCATTGCACCTTTCATTGCTAATTATACAGCATTTCTATATAGTAGGAAAATATCCCTTTTAAAGAACCAAGCATAAATGTTGATGACTTGTTCAGAGTACACTCAGGCATAGCTGTGTTTTCATGGAATTGCCATGCACCCTGGATGCCTTTGAGGCCGCGAGAGACCTCATTGCTATGACAGTGCCGAGGATGCCCATCGTTCCACCAAGCCTCTGGTACTGCATCGTGTGGCACCGTCTCAAGGCAAACCGGTGATGCTCCGTCCCTTGGCACTGCTGATGGAATCACGGCGCCACTCACAGACCCGGCGCCGGTCGTACTCGTGGTGCCAGTCAGATTCACAGCATCTCTCCAGGTCACAGTGATACTCTCGCTTGCAACACTGATCCTTGCGTCGATCCTGGTTGCGTAGCAGGTCCCGCTCCCGACACCAGTCCAGGCACCGATCAACTACCGCCCGCAGCTCCAGATGCGGCACCACTCTCCAGCCTTGCGGCATTGCGACTCCGTTCTCCAGTGCAGTGCAGTTCACTGGACCAGCTCCATCATGGTCCCAGTCCCCGTCTTCGAGATGGGGTCTAGATACTTGGAGTGGGGCCAGCACCGGTCGGGTCGTGGAAGGCCTGAGATGCGGGCAGGGCCATGGCCTGTGCAGTGACAGGGACTAGCGCAGTGGCCATTTGGGACTCCATGGGTGTACCACCAGGCACAGGGTATCCAATCTGAAGGATCCTGGTCTGCCACCTTTGAACCATGGGTGCCGGAGACTTCCACCAGTTGCCCCACCCCC